CACGAATGATTCATTGTTGAAATTACTAACCTATCGACTGATCTACCACCGTTAAAATTCACAGGTAAAATCATGATCCATCACTAAAATCACGAACTTATCCACTATTAAAATTATAATCCTGAAATCACTAACCTGCCAACTACTAAAATGTAAATTCATCTACTGTTGATATTACGATACTTAAATGATTTACTGCATTATTAGAACTAAGATGTCTATAAAATGATTGTAACTCAAATTTTAATTTGATTTGCGGTCTTCTTAAAAAGATAAATATATACTTAAATAAATCTTACATGACATATATATTTAGGCCAGACCAAGTTGATTATGTGTTTTACATTACCCCCCTCTCCCCTCCAGGAGGGGGGGGGGAGGGGTGGTTCACATAGTAAAATTTAAAAAATTTTTTTTTTCAAAAAAAAAATTTTCCGAATTGTTCCGTGACTATATAAAAATTTTCCGAAATATCCCGTAACCCTATATATATTTATCTAAATTTGTTTTACTATGAGGGAGGGGGTAATGTAAAACACATAATCAACTTGGTCTGGCCTTAACATAATAAATTTTAACCTTAATTATATACGATCATATTGATATAGTCAATCTTCTAGTTTTTTTAATATTGCTTGGTATATTAAATAAATTATTCAATTATACTGCGTGGTTCTAATATTTTCCATTTTATGCAATCACCAATATTATTATTTTTATTTGTTTATTCTTAAATTGTTATATCAGAAAACGCATGTTTAATATAAGGTAAGTATGCCTAATTTGACTTAGTTAATCTTTTCCAATAGCAAATTTGGTAAGATCGGCAAGTTTTTACTAAATTCAATACAAATCGATCTAAAATAGATATTCATTCAAAAAAAATTTATTTAAGCAGAAAGAAACAGAACTTTATACTTGTATGGAACAAATGAGATGATTTTAAATTTTCTTCTTTTTAAGCTGTTTCATATCTTTAATATGTTGCTTTTCTGCCCTTGCACACTTTGTATCCTCTTTTTTTCCTTCACATTTCTTGTTTTTGTGACATTTGGCTTCACAAGCCAATTTTTTTTGAAGGGCCATTTCTTTTTTTTGCCTTTTCTCATTGGCTTTTGTTCTGCTCCCTCCTCTGTTTTCTTCAACAGTTGCAATGAACTTTCATGTGTGACTAACTGGGAAAAGGGTATAGTTTTTTTTTTTTTTTGTTTTAGCAGCTGGGATCCTTCTTGCCCTTTATTAGGTTCCATTTCCTCAGTTGATTGCGAATAATAATGCAGAGGATACTTGAGTGTTTATCACAAAGAACTTGTATCAGGTTTTTTGTAAGTTTCAAGTTCTTTCACTAACTGTCCAACTTTTTGATTTAGCAACATGATTTCTGACATTAATTTTTCTTGCATAGAATTCACTTTGATAAAGTGAGTATGAATTGAAACTAACTTCAAAGAAGATTGTGAAGACAAAGAAGCTAGTTGTTTAAGAATTTTAAAATATCAGCTTATTTTGTTGCCAACTAGAGATCTAAATGGTCAGGACTAATAGTGCTAGAGTTGAAAATCCAAATCTCTATAGTTTTAAAGGCATCGTATATTGCAGTAGATATATAGCTTGCAAGATAGGATGAATCTAAAACTTGAGTAATCAAATTTTATCACATACTAACTATTATTATTAGTTCTAAATATATTACACTCCTTAGTATATGCTTTTTTAATATAGAAAATAGTAATTCAGCTGGTTGTAAAATATAAGTGGTATAAAGAAAAGGGTATAAAAAAATATTATTTTTGAAATAAAATATAATACTAGTAAAGTTGATGTGATTTTTGTAGTTATTCATAATTAGTATAACAAGATAATTAGGAGAAATTGAACTAATAAAATGTTTAATATATTTTTAAAACAGGCTTTCCTGCATATAATTTGTCTCATTAAACTCTATACAGAACTAGCAGAAGCATTATCCAGAAGACCCAGAATTATTTATTTTTTCTTTTAGATAATTAATAGTAGAATATAAGTTTTAATAGCTGAGATAATAGGACTATATATGCTGATAAAATTATTTTGAGATCTACTGAAATGAAAATTTGTAAATAAAATTATTTTTGATTTATTTACTTAAAAGACAATTTTTTAATACTTTTTTGAAGAGATAAAATTATAAGAAATATAAATACAAAAATTAGATTTGCTTTTGTATATAAAAACTTCTAATTTACTCTAATAAAGACAAAATAGTATTTTTTTGAAAATCTATTTTAGTAGTATGTATAGGTAGAACATAATAAAATATGTTATAAGAGTTATTGTATGAAATCTAATAAACTTGATGAGCACCTTTTTTAGCAATAATTTTTTGAAATTGAGACTTGATAACAAAGCTTATTTTATTCTAAAAAGTATAAAAAAAAAAAAAAGTTATAAAAAAAAATAAAATAAAATAAAAATAAAAATAAATCCTTGCAAATAAAAAAAATAAAATAAAATAAA